ACGTTGGAGGGTGATGAATGGAAAATGGCATTTAAAACTAAATATGGGTTATATGAGTGGTTGGTTATGCCGTTTGGTCTCACAAATGCACCGAGCACATTTATGCGTTTAATGAATCATGTTTTATGTGTTTTCATAGGAAACTTTGTTGTAGTTTACTTTGATGACATTTTAGTCTATAGCAAAGACCTAGGTGAGCATTTAGAACATTTAAAGTGCGTACTTGTTGTGTTAAGAAAGGAACAATTGTATGCTAATTTTGAAAAGTGCACGTTTTGCATTGATATAGTTGTTTTTATAGGATTTGTTGTTAGTGCTAATGGGGTATAAGTGGATGAGGAAAAGATTAAAACTATTAAAGAATGACCAACACCTAAAAATATAACTGAGGTTAGGAGCTTCCATGGTCTGGCTAGTTTTTATAGGCGGTTTGTGAGAGATTTTAGCACAATCACGGCATCATTAACTGAAATCGTTAAGAAAAGTGTAGGTTTTCACTAGGAGGAAATACAAGAACTTGCATTTAATGCCATTAAGGATAAATTGTGTAAAGTACCTGTTTTGGCATTACCTAACTTTGATAAAACGTTCGAGATTGAGTGTGATGCATCAGGGATAGGTATTGGAGCAGTGTTAATGTAGGAAAGGAGACCTATTGCTTACTTTAGCAAGAAGTTAAGTGGAGCTGCACTGAACTACCTAATGTATGACAAGGAGCTGTATTCCTTTGTTCGAGCATTGGAGACTTGGTGTGGCCTAAGGAATTGGTGATACACACCGATCATGAATCCCTAAAGCAATTGCTGGGTCAATGTAAGTTGAACAAGCGACATGCGAGGTGGATGGAGTTTATAGAGACATTTCTATACGTCATCAGGTATAAGCAAGGTAATGGAAAAGTAGTTGCAGATGCGTTGTCCTGAAGGTACGTGCTTCTTAACTCTTTAAGTGCGAAATTACTTGGTTTTGAGCATATTAGGAGCATGTATGAAAATGACCTTGATTTCTCAAATATTTATAATTCATGTGCTAAAATGGTTGTTGATAAATTTTATAGACATGAAGGATATTTGTTTAGGGAGAATAAGTTCTGTATTCCAAATTATTCAATGCGTAAATTATTGGTAAGGGAAGCACACAATGGGGGTCTAATGGGTCATTTTGGGATTCAAAAGACTTTAAACATGTTAGGGGAACACTTTTATTGGCCTAAAATGCGTAGTGACGTAGAACGGATTTGTGAGAAGTGCATAACTTGTAAACAGGCTAAATCAAAAGTTTTACCCCATGGCTTGTATACACCTTTACCTGTAGTGAATCTTGGGTGGATATTTCTATGGATTTTGTGTTGGGATTACCTAGGACAAAGAAAGGTCGGGATTCCATCTTTGTAGTGGTTGATAGGTTTAGTAAAATGGTACACTTCATACCATGTCACAAAATCGATGATGCCACTAACATTGCTGATTTATTCTTTAGGAAAATCGTATGTTTGTATGGAGTCCCTAAGAGTATTGTGTCAGACCGAGATGTTAAATTTTTGAGTCATTTCTGGCGCGTTTTGTGGAATAAGTTAGGAACTACATTGTTATTTTCTACAACTTGTCACCCACAAACGGATGGTCAAACTGAAGTAGTAAATAGTACCATGACTCAATTGCTTCGAATAGTTATTAATAAGAACTTAAGAAATTGAGAAGATTGCTTGCCATTTATTGAGTTTACTTATAATCGTGCTATACATTCGACTACTTCTTATTCACCTTTTGAAATTGTGTATGGATTTAATCCACTAACTCCATTGGATTTATTTCCTTTGCTTGTGAATGAATGAGATAACATGGATCGTAAGAGGAAAGTTGAGATGGTGAAGGCACTTTATGAGAAGGTCCGTTCGCAAATTGAAGAGAAGAACAAGCTCATTGCGTCAAAGGCAAACAAAGGGTGGAAGCGTGTGACATTTGAACTCGGAGATTGGGTATGGGTGTATTTCAGAAAGGAACGTTTTTCGGAGCAGCAAAAGTCCAAATTGTAACTGCGAGGAGATGGTCCTTTCCAAGTCACCGAGAAGATCAACGACAATGCCTACAAAGTGGACTTGCCAGGTGAATCTAATGTACCGACTACATTTAACGTTGCCGATCTTTCCCTTTTTGATATAGGTGCAGATTCGAGGACGAATCCTTTTGAAGAGGGGGGATGATGTGATCCAAGAATTAAGCTTGAAGACGGCGAGTTCGAGTCGAGACCCGTTGATTATCGAAGGCGAATCGATGACGCGATCGAGAACAAAGCAAGTGAAACAAGTAATGAGATTTCTCGTTCAAGAAACCATTGATGGAACAATGTTTGGGATTCAAAATGGGACAAGTTTCATGTTCGGATCGAAAGTTGAATCAAAGTGGATCAACTCAATATAAGTGGATGAAGACGGAGGCCAAAGTAACAACCATGCGGCCGCATGGTTTTAAAATGGTGCGGCCGCACAATTTTAAAATGGTGTGGCCACACAGACCCATGCAGGTTTTTCTCAAGAGGCGAAAGTTCCTTCCATGTGCCGCATGGTACAAAAATCTGGCAAAATTTTTATTTTTTCGCGAATTTCTTTATTTTGTTAGAATTTGATATCAATTAGATTTCTTTCCATATTTTGACGATTTTGCACGATTTTATCTAGGATTTTAGCTTTAGTATAAATACTCTCTCCATTACATTGTAAAAGAACTTTTGACAATTATTATTAAATTAAAGAGAGGCTTCTATTTTCTTCCAATTTGTTTTTTTTTGAACAATAATTTAGAACTTATCAAGGATAATTCCTTGTGGCGTTCAATACCGGATCGTGGGTTCTTTAATTTGTAAGCAAGGGGTTCATTGCATCACCGTTATCTTTGGGTTCTTTGTTTTATCTTGTTGAGTTCAAATCCAAACTGGTTATCAATTGGCGTTCTTGGGTTCCGCATTAATCTAGCTGTGGGTGTCGAAGTCTAAGTTGCTACGGGGTTCGCATAAGAAAGATAGCAATCTCAAAATAATTAAGATAGGTATTGTCGAGCTTATTTAAAATAAACTAAATAAAAAAATTTAGGAGATTCGGTTCTTGATCTAGAACTGAACCAAACTCCTCGATTCTTGATTTAGATATCCGTTCATATATTTTATTTAAGAAGAACTGCTCGTTTCGGTTCGAGAGTTTTGTCCATCTCTGAATATTACACGAAAATAAAAAAATATTTTTTTAACTATACATTTTTCATCAATTTACTATTCCACAATACATTACACAAAATGAATGAGGCTCAAACGGGGCCTAGTTTTTTCCTTGTAGTTCATTACACTTTTTATAAACCTTCGTCTTAAATATATATTTAAAATTGACCTCTCATTAAAAAATATATATATAATTTTCCCTTTTAATTTGTGCGGTTGAATCCCTGATGAAGTTTGTCCACTAGTCCTACCTTTCTTATCTTTGAAATTGTTGTAGAGAAAAGTAGCTTTTATGATCGGTGCTCGTTCGGTCTATTGCACTTAAATTTGACCTAAAATTATTCAATATGGATAACACAGTTTCAAGCTTCATGAATTAATTATTCAGGACACTTGAAGATCATTTGGATTGCAATCAATTAATTGGAAAAAATATTGGAGAACTATCTTGAGATCCAGTAAAGTTGACAATTAAAAATTTTGTGGACTGAATTGTAAAATTTCTAAACTTGCTTCAGATTAAGATGTTATAAATCGAGAATGATGAGTGAAAAGCTAAAAAGAATTCAAGGAAAATGCCAATTCCCAACTCCTCAAGTGTCAATGACACATAAAGTGTATTGTCAATTCCCAACTCTTCAAGCCTCGAGGGAACGTTTGGCTGAAGTTCGATTATCCCTAAATTATAATTGCATATCAAATTACATTTTTTAGAATGTGAGTTGTTTTTATGAATGAATAAATGAGAACATGACATTATTTAAATAACGCTAGACGAGTGTAGAAGAAAAATGGCATATTTGACAACACTAGATGAGCGTGGAAGGAAATAAAGAAGAATTTGGGGACCCAAGGAAAATGACATTTTTCATTTCTAGATTTGTTAAATTAATTGCTTCGTAGGTCATTATTGAAAAATGTTCAAGTGAATTATTTGGCCATAAATCTGTATAGCAAATTCTCTACAATTAGGCACAAAATTGACATACTTCACCATCAATTGGCAAACTAGAAGTTGACAAAGACAAGGAAACATAATTTTGTTAAATACTGTTATTACATTACATATGTCTATCTTTACATAAAACCAGTCTACTCTATATTCCAGAACTTGAAATATGTAAACCTCAATTGACTGATTGAGCAGTAACGTTCCGATTACTCCCAAAAGTCCGAATATGAACCCAATTACCAAACTAATGTAATATCCTTCAGTGATTAGCTTGTCTTCCTCAGTTTTTTCTTACTACTTGCGGTATCTTGATTTTTTGCTCACTAATTTTAGTTTCTTTTGAACAGGAATAACATATAGCAAAAGGGGTAAGTGACGTAGAGCAGAGACACAATTTCTTTGTTGATTGCTCTAGAGAATCGAGTTGGGAAGAAGTTGCAGGAGAAAACCTTGAGTTCGAGAGCATAACTCGAGTGGTTCGGCAACTTGTTGAGAGTATGAAGAAAGTTACAGCTGAAGCCATAGTTGGTGATATATGGTCAAGCATAATGAGTCAATGTGTAACATACTAAAAACCAATCTCCAACATGCAATGATCCCAGAAATTTACCTCGGCTTACCAGGTAGATCGGGCAAGCCTAAATCAGTCCAAAATAGTTTTTTTTGGGAAAATTATGAGCTGAATTTCTGGTGCTGCTATTAAGGGCTGGCACATTGATGTTGTTAATAAACATGGCGCTATTATATCACAATCAATTTTCGGATGATCAAAACATGAAAATCTAACCACTTCACAGGTAGTTTCTAGAATTTAAAACCAATAACATAGAAATAGAACTAAAGAAATAAACTAGAACTTCCAAGGCAAAAGAGCTCTCAAATACAATACAAGATTGTCCAATACAATAAAAGAGGCGTCCAGTAGAACAAAGTGTGTCCAACATGAGTTCTGAGCAGTACTCAATACATTTCAGATTGAAAGGAAACAAAAATATAAAAAAAATCAATCTCATCCAACAGATGTTAAGGGTCAGATCTGTCGAACATAGATATATAAACCCCACTTGCTAAATTATGAAGGGGCACATTTACTAGAAGTTGAGTTTGCATACACCAAGACCCTGTCTCTTGAACCAAAAATCACCTAGCTTCTTGTCTAGCCTGGTCATTACTCCCTTCTCCATGAACACATCAAATGTTTCCTACAATCAGCCAACAAAAAATATTAACAACGACAAGAGCAATAAACTAAAAAATGAACTAAAAATGAAAAGATTAACAGTAGTACTATATTTTTTAGCCTTCACTTGCACTTGTGAAACCATCACTACTGTCAGTGTCTTGTAGTTGTATATTTTTGTCTACAACATGCCTTTCAGAATCTACATAAAAGATCCTAGATTCAGCCACATCCACTTCTTCAGCTCTAATATCAGTACGGACTAAATTTTGGCTTTCAAATTCTGAATATATTCGAATAGGTTTCTGGGTCGATGGTTGTTGATCCTCTTGGAATGCAAGTTCCATCCTTATGCGATTATCAACTTCATTATGATCATCCAAAACTTGAACAAAAAGAAACAATATGTATTACAACTCATTTTACAAAATACTTTTTTGGGTTAATTGAGACATTAGTTACAACACTTACATATTCCTTTAACCAACACGAAAAATGTTCTTCCCGTAAACCATCAAATTGTCCATCATACATTTGAGGATGCAACATTCTCATATGTTTATCAAACACCCTACATGTGCCATGATAAATTGTAAATGCATCTAAGCAAGCATACAGTTCAATATATATACATATAATAAATGTAATTATAACAACTTACGCGATAAAAAGAGTTACTTCCTCACAATTGAAGAGCACATACGTTGATGCTGCTCTGAATTCCTCATTCGTCATTAATCTGCTATTATGACGTTGCATGCCAAAGGGTCTTCCAAGGTAGGTAAAAATTGATAGTCTCCCTTGGGAATCAATATGACCTCCATCATCGTTCCTCAACACACGATTCAATCTTGTTTGAATAATTTGATCAAAATATAGAGAGCAAAAAGTTGACATTTCCTCTACTAAGTATGCCTCTACAATAGATGCCTCAACATGAGCCCAATTTTTCACTTCCTTTTTTAAGTGGTGTATGAACCTGTGATACACGAAATGAATATCATTTAGACTACAAAAGGTAAATAAATATACAAGCATGTGTTACCTCTCAAAAGGATATATCCAACGGTATTGCATAGGACCGCCAACCTTTGCTTCATAAGCTAAGTGAACAGATAAATGCTCAATTGAATCAAAAAAGCCTAATTGAAAAATCTTTTCAAGCTTGCATAATGTCACAACAATGTTTTGCTCCAATTGCTCCATATCTTTTATCCTCAAAACAGGAGAACATATATCCCTAAAAAAATGGCTAAGTTCAATTAAAGCTTCCCAAATTGGTTTGGGCAACAATTCTTTAAATGCAATCGACAGCAATCTTTGCATAAAAATATGGCAATCGTGGCTCTTCATTCCATAGAACTCACAATCACCTTTAACACAATGTGAAATATTTGATGCATAACCGTCAGGCATTCTTAAATTCCTAATCCAATTGCATAATTCTTGTTTTTGTACATTAGTCAAGCTGTAGGAGGCCTTTGGCATGAATAGTTTCCCCTGTTACCTTCATATATATGAAGCTCTAGATGATTGCAATAGAGCTCCAAATCCTTCTTAGCCTTAAAGTTGTCTTTACTTTTCCTTTTATATCCATAATTGTGTTAAATATATTTTCGAATACATTCTTTTCAATGTACATTACATCTAAATTGTGCCTTATGAGATTTTTATCCCAATAAGGCAACTCCTAGAAAGTGCTTCTCCTCATCCAATTATGGCTATGACCAAAACCTTTGATTTCTTTTGAAGCTCTAGATGATTGCAATAGAGCTCCAAATCCTTCTTAGCCTTAAAGTTGTCTTTACTTTTCCTTTTATATCCATAATTGTGTTAAATATATTTTCGAATACATTCTTTTCAATGTACATTACATCTAAATTGTGCCTTATGAGATTTTTATCCCAATAAGGCAACTCCTAGAAAGTGCTTCTCCTCATCCAATTATGGCTATGACCAAAACCTTTGATTTCTTTTCTCTTATAAGCTTTGCCACTTGCAATGCGTGGGAGGTTTTCCACTATACTTTACAGCTCTTTACCAGTTAGCTTATGTTGTGCCATATTCTTCTCAACTCTATCTTTGTAAAACTTGTCTCTTTGTTTTCTAAATGCATGGTCGGGTGGTAGGAATTGACGATGACAATAAAGAAAAGATGTTTTTTCTCCATTTTTAAGCTCGAAAGACTTAGTTCAACCCATATCCCGAAAAATAACTAATATTCCATATCAATGTAGCTTTCAACTGAAAATTCTACTTCGTTTGTATGTTGTTTGCGAAATTATTTTCTTTCGATTTTAAACTACCGCAAGTGTACGGTTCGTTAACAAGTAATAAAGTGGATTCAATGGGTCCGAATGTCGTCCCACAAAGATTGATTAGTTCAAATTTTATCTAACATAACCTTAACCGAAACTGGATTGCCAAAGTGGATGTGAACCTAAGTAAAACACTAATTTCAAAAAGAAACCCTAATTACGCAAATTTAATGAGTGAATTGAAATTAAAACTCAAAACAATATTTTAACACTCTAGAATAAAATTAAATGTTGAGAATACACGTT